TAACCATTAAATTAGACGTAATTAGTATACAGTCAAATGTAATTAATTTAATTATGTACTATCCAATTTATTAAAACGTTCTTGTTAATCCGGCGCTTATTTATGGCATGCGACATTAATTAGTCTAGTGTACGTGTATATTGATTTTTATGCCACATTAAAAAACATCCTTAAGTAACAACAAAAACTTAAGTAGCTCAAGTGTATGATGATAATATTTTTTTTAATTGCTATACTTTACTGATTTATAATGCTACCGATGAAGTAGATTACCGTTTGACTTTTAACTTTAATTACAATAACAAATTAACAGAAAGAAAAACAAGACGACATCACGAGTTAAGCCTGTGAGTTAAGCTGATCTTCTAACCCCATCAGAAGATCTCCCAATAAATTTATTTTAAACGTAAAAATCGTGCCTTTTTTATGCTAAATATGTGAAATTTATCATCAATATTATTTATGTTATTGTATTTATATTTATATATATATATATATATTTACGTCAGTTAGTTTTACATGTATTATAATAATATGTTTGTCCCTTTCTTCTTTATATCTAAGTATACTTAGTTCTGCTTTATGCCGCCATCGCGTTTATCGTGTTTCCTAAAGGTAGACTTGGAGAGAATGCCATTATTATTAAGTCCGCCTTTTTTACTGCCCATATTCGTCCACTGCTGGACATAGGCCTCCCCAATTGCACGCCATCTATTTCGATTTTCGGCTGTTCGCATCCAGCTCCTGCCAGCCATCTTGCGCAAATCATCGCTCCACCGCGCCTGAGGACGTCCTACACTACGTTTGCCGAGACGCGGTCTCCACTCAAGAACTCGTTTACCCCAACGGTTATCGGTTCTGCGGCTAATATGGCCAGCCCACTGCCACTTCAGCTTGCTAATCCGGTGGGCTATGTCGATAACCTTGGTTCTCTGCCGGATCACCTCATTTTTGATTCGATCCCGCAGAGAAACGCCGAGCATAGCCCTTTCCATAGCGCGCTGAGCGACCTTCAACTTGTGGACCAGCCGTGCCGTCAGTGTCCACGTTTCGGCTCCGTATGTCATAACGGGTAGGACGCACTGATTAAAGACTTTTGTCTTTAGGCACTGCGGGATCGACGATGTAAAGACCTGACGTAGTTTCCCAAACGCTGCCCAACCTAGCCGAACTCTTCCATTTACCTCGCTCTCGAAGTTGTTTCTACCTAACTGCAATGTTTGCCCGAGGTATACATATTTTGGAACAATTCCGAGAACGGCACCGCATACTGCAATCGGTTCCGGTAGTACGTGTTCGTTGAACATGACCTTGGTTTTATCCAAGTTCATCCGTAGGCCGATGCGCATAGAAGAGTCAGCCAGGTCATTCAGCATCTGTTGTAGGTCCTGCAGATTTTCTGCCATGATGACGATGTCGTCAGCAAATCTCAAGTGAGAGATGTACTCGCCATTGATGTTGATGCCACGTCCTTTCCAGTTCAGCGTCTTAAACATATCCTCCATTGCATTAGTAAACAATTTCGGAGACATAACGTCTCCTTGTCTCACTCCTCGATGCAACGGTATAGGACTTGTTTGCTGATTCTGTACTTGGACGGTCATGGTGGCGGCCTCATAAATACATCTTATCACTTGGATGTATCGCCAATCGACTTGGCATCGCTGCAGGGACTCCAGAACGGACCAGATCTCAATCGAGTCAAAGGCCTTCTCATAGTCCACAAATGCTAGACACAGGGGCTGATTATACTCTTCAGTCTTCTGTATAATCTGCCGCACTGTGTGGATGTGGTCTATGGTGCCGTATCCACTCCGAAACCCAGCCTGCTCCGGTGGTTGGAATTCGTCAAGTCTTTGCGCAAGACGGTTCGTGACTACTCTAGAAAACAGCTTATAGACGTGGCTTAGAAGGGAAATGGGTCGATAGTTCTTCAGCAGGGTTTTGTCTCCCTTTTTGAAGAACAGGACGACAACACTCCTACTCCACGCCTGCGGAGTTCTCCCTTCGAAGAGGACAGCATTAAAAAGCTTTTGGAGCTCCTTCAGTACCGGTTTACCTCCTGCTTTTAATAATTCAGTTGTAATGCCATCCTCTCCAGGGGCTTTTCCATTTTTAAGCTGTCTCAGAGCGATCTCGATTTCGCCAATGCTGACTTCTGGCAGATCTTCGGTGTAGTGGCGTGTTAATGTGGCTCTAGAATCCTCATTTCCGGGATCAGGTCGAGATGCATGCGAAGCGTATAACCGGGCATAGAAATTTTCCACCTCCGAGAGGACCGCTGGCTTCGAAGCAACGACTTCCCCGCTTGCTGTGGTCAACTTCGTCAAGTGGCTTCTTCCAAGAGATTGTACGAATACTTTTGACCCCCTGTTTTGCTCGATCGCTCTTTCTATAGCGTGAGTGTTGGAGCACCGGAGGTCATATCGTACGCGTTTGCTGATCTCCTGGTTTTGAGCACGTTTTCCTGACGAAGTGACAGGTGGGTTTTCACGTCGTTCCTTCATTAGCCCCAAAGTTCTATCGGAGAGCTTAGACTTCCCGCCCTTACGCTGCATGCTACAAAATTTCGTACCTTCTTCCCTGAGTATTCGAACCACATTTTCAAGGTTCTCGTCAACGTCAATTGTGGTTTCCATGGCAGCGAATCGGTTCTCAAGATTTGACTGAAACGTTTCAGATTCCATCATGGTTTGGAGAGGAGTAGGTCGGAGCCTGGCCTTCATCAAGCGGACACGTTCAGCTTTGAAGTTGATATTCAGAGAGCCTCGGACAAGTCGGTGATCGCTGCCGGTGTTAAACCTATTGATCACGGAGACATCTCTGAATACGTGCTTTTTGTCCGTTATAATGAAGTCGATCTCATTTTTTGTCACATTGTCGGGGCTTTGCCACGTCCACTTCCTTTGGGGCTGTTTCTTAAAGAACGAGTTCATAAGGAAGAGCCCCTCCCGTTCGAGGAAGTTAACGAGCATTTGCCCCCTATCATTCCTGCTTCCAAATCCATGGGATCCTACTACCGATTCGCCGCAATTTTGTACTCCCACTTTAGCGTTAAAGTCCCCCATAACAACGCTGTAGTGGGTCTTAGTAGTGAAGTGGAGTGCCCTCGATATATCATCGTACATATTCTCCACTTCATCGTCCGAGTGTGTCGAGGTCGGTGCGTACACTTGAACAACCTTGAGGCTATACCTCTTAGTGAGCTTTACAATCAGGTACGCCACCCTGTTCGACACACTGGAAATTTCTACAACGTTGTCAGAAAGGGACTTATTGACAAGAAACCCAACGCCACCTTGGGATTGTTGGTCTCCCTCGCGGAAGTACATTAGGTGGCCTGATTCGAGGGTTATGGTATCCTCCCCCTCTCTTCGGACTTCACACAATCCCAATATGTGCCACCTAATCTTTCCAAGCTCCACCTCAAGTTGAGCCAGATGCGAGTCAAGCCGTAGCGTGCGTCCGTTGTACGTCGCCAGGGTCAGTCGGTTGTGGTGGCCTCCCGTAGCCCGGAGATTCTTAGCACCCCCTGCCTCGCCGTTACCATGGTCGCCACCATGACCAGGAATAGCGAGGCCGCCGGGAACTAGGGGCCGTGGCCTTTTGTGCCTTTTCATTTGGGGGATATGCCCATAATCGCCACGCTGGGCAAGCGGGTTGGCGATCGCAGTATGGTCCAGTTCTGTGGCCCGCACAAGAAGACGCTGCTGCCCATCTCCTTGGGTTAAATTTCCCTTAGTCGCCTCTTACGACACCCACGGGATGAAAAGGGGTAGTACAATTCTATACCGGTACCTTATACTACTCTAATGTAAATTCTACTCTAATGTGACGAAATCACGACATTCTCCAATACATTTAGCGCAATAATAGACAGTTCGTTGAATTTATTTGATCGACCTAAAATGAATCATTCAACGCTGCTCGCGATTCAATAGACCAATTTATAACACATCTTAATTCGACGAAAGTCCGTTTTTCCGACGAAATCATTCGGTGCATTGCATGTCTTCAGTTTTTACGTCTGGTTCATACCAACTTAAAACTGAAAGTATTTTTCACGCTGCTGTCTGTAGGATAAAATTTTATATGAGTTACTTGGTTGTTACAAACTCTTTTGATGCTGGCCACTTTTTATAGTTGGCCGGCATACTGAATGACAGACGGACGACTTATTTTTAGTTTCTTATTGTTTTTAAAAAGACACGTTGTGTGTGATTAAAGAGTGTCCAATCAATTCGGTTTTTCCTATAATTCTTTTTTTTATTGGTTGAAAGCATTTATAATATCTTTACTAATAATAATATTACAAAGAGAAAAAAAACGTTTGTTAGTCTATATTGAATAGGTTTCGAAACTCCTGGACCGAATTAAAAAACTCTTTCACTTACGGACAGGATAATACGTATTATAAGTAATTCATGTGAATTCACTCGCGTAAACAGACAGATAGTTTTGTTTAAAGCAGAAAAATTAAAAGATTATATGAATTATTATAAAAGAATAATTGTGTTTTATTGTCATCCATCTTAACATCATCAAATAATGATACCAAAGACACCAATATGTTTTAGTATTCTGCAAAAATTCAGCGACAAGCTCGAAAGGAAGTGCTCGACGAGAGAGAGTACTTTCGCGGTATTACAGGTTCAAGTAAAACCTTTACAGTGTTATTACAAAAGAGATGTTAGACAGGGTTTTACCATGTGTTTAAGTAAACAATGTCTAAGAATATAAACCCTGTTTAAAATGATGTTTAACTTTGTCTATTACAAATCCATTTTTAGTCGTAGTCTAACTAACGCTGATTTAAACATGCAACCCGTAAAGCATTCGTTCAGTCGGCTTTCATTCGTTCGTACACGTTCCATTATATGCACATCTTATACAGACTTATGATAAATTCTAATCGTAAAAAGATATGTTCAATAACGTATTAGCTAATAACTTTCAAAAGTAAAAAAGAAAGTACAAAATTAACGTTTTTAAACTGGCACTTCTATTCATAATTCATATTAGAGTAAGGTTAAGTAAAACTATAGCGAAATAATATGAAGAAACGGAACAACGACTACCTGATGCCGAACCCAACGCCGCACATGTTCGCAAGCTGTGAACAGACACAGAAGCTATGCACACATGCACATGCTACGTGTATTTATTTGCAGATCTATACTTTCATCTCGAGGATTATGAGGAATATCGTCTTAAATAATTTCATATATTTTGTCAGCAAACAATCCACTAAATATGTACTTTTTTTTATATCAAAGCTCAAATGGATTAAATCGCGTTCGGTTTACTTACGCGTCCTAAAAGCTTTCCATGTAATCTAAATCGACCATATCAATATAATCTTTATCTTAAGAATATGGATGAATTTTCAACAAAGCGCAACCTATTTTGAGGTTAGACACGCGTTAAACAACTCTCAACGAGTGTTTATATTTTAAACAATGTTTAAGCGATGTTTAGCCTTAAACAGTGCCTAAATACGATTTTGTAATAGAATTTTTTTTAAACACGTGTTCAACGCTTGTTTATCTTTTTTGTAATAACACTGTTATTATCTTATGAATTAGGTTTTATTTTATTATACCTCTAATACTGTAAGAGTTTTTTGCATTTTCAAATATAAGCACTGCTGTTAGTGCACAACAATAACTGTATATTGTGCGACAATAAATAAATCATACTCTAAGTGTCTCCTCAACGCTTATTTGTTATGATTAGGTGGTTCAACTTTAATAGTATATTTGTTTATTATAATATTTGTGATGTTAATAAGGTATATAAGTATTTGTAAGTACCATTACTTGTTTAAACCAACGACTTATGGAATGTTTAACGTTTAACGTAAGTCCCTTCACATGCCGCGCTTAGAACTTGGCAGTTCAAAGGATTGAACTTTGTGGTATGCTATCGGACTTCTGCTAGAACGCAACCTATACTTACAAATAATTAAACCGTAAAAAAACTACGTTTTAATCCCTTGTATATCACAAAAACCACGTGAACTTTTGTAGAAAATAATAATCATTAAACCTTTATAGGATGGGAAACTAAAAAAAAAATATTTCGAAAATAGCGATAAATTGGTTTAAGAGATCACTACATAATATAAAACAAAGTCGCTTTCTCTGTCCGTATATCCCTATGTATGCTTAAACCTTTAAAACTACGCAACGGATTTTGAAGCGGTTTTTTTGTATAATACAAGTCCACGCGGGCGAAGCCGCTGGCGGAAAGCTAGTTATTTAATAAGAAAGAAGTAATTTAGTTTTTTTTTTATAATCTTAAAATCAGCAAAACTTCTTTTCTCTCTTGTTAATTTATTTACCACCCAAAAATTACGTCATCATTAAAATTCACTTGTTTATGTTTCACGACATTAGCGACGTGTAAAGTGTACGCAGTGGGCTAATACCCATAAAGCTATTTTTTTTTACTTTAAATATTTTAAAACATGGTATCACCATTCTCCCGCCTCAGTAACCTCTTCGAATAGAGATAGATATTAAAAAACATCACATACATTGCTCAGATTCCAAGATGAATAGCTAAAGTCCCCGTATTGTGGAGTATCTGAGACAACGAAGTTACCACACCCAGACCTGAGACAATATAGAAGTCTACATTGACCTAACCGGGAATCAAACCCGAGACCTCAGAGACGGTGACACCTTGGAACCGGCGTGCGCAACCACTAGGCTATGGCCATTTACCTTTTTTACTGTCAGGGCTCGAGCATTTGCGCCTATCATAAAAATTATAATCAAACGGTCGTACAACCTAGACAAAAAGAGAGAGAAAGGTTTTATCGGGGTTAAATTATTTCCTTAAGAGTTACTAAACCTGAAAGAGACATTAAATCCAAGTTTTAAAAGGGCCATCATGACTAATTGGCACCGTTAAAACAAAAACAAGCCCCACAGAATTCCGACAGACAGTACAACACATCACCGAGCGGGTTCAGAGGAACTAGTACCAACTTTAACAAGCTCATTAGCAAAAATGTCAACATTATCTTAAATAAATTAAGAAAATCAACAATTCTTCTTAATTAAGTGTTTTTAAACTGAAAATGTACCTCACGATTTTATATCCTTGATAACATTTTATTCTTTTCTCATATACCTACAACCAAGGATTTTGTTTTTTAGTTTTAATTTATATTTATTTTAACCATACCAAAATATTTTGGTATAAATACACGATTTTGAAAGCTGAAATACATTAAAGCGATAATACATTAAAAATAGATAATATATTATAAAATAATGTTATATTCATTGCTAAATCAAAAAAAAAATAGCTTCAGCAATAGCTTTAAGTAAGGCGGACTTCAAGCTGGAAATGAAGTAAAAACACCATATGTGTCAAGTAGCTTAACTCGGTTGAGCTGATAGGTTTTATCTGTGGTTTTATGCCAATTTTATGCAGCCGTCAGTCTACCCTTTAATTACCATTTTTAATGGTAGTAAAAATGCACCTAGTGGAATTTCGTACAAAAAAAAACTTTTTTGCTGAGAAATGTGTTGTGAATACCCAATCCCCCGCCTAGCGCAGAACCCGCGGGTTATGTGGGACTCTCCCCTGCCGGCCCACTCCAAAGTAGAGTTAGTCAAATAGCAGGGGTATATCCACTGAAACTCAGCAATGTCCCTCTCCATAAAGGTGATGCACAGGGCCATCCCAAAGACCTCTTCCCGCGCCGTTTGTCCCCAAAACAAAAAATCCTGATGTGACAGACAAACGGAAATACGGAACCCTAAAAACGGACTATACAAAAGAGTTATATTAATGTTAGTAATTTAATAAATAAAATTTTGATAATGAATATAATATTTAGCTTTAGTAAAGTATACTAAACGGATTCTCATTTAATTAAATACTCTAGAACAGGTAAAACGCACAGATCGGTACTGTAGTAAAAGAACTTTGTGCTAATTAATGTGAAAAATAGCCGTCAATTAGGGTTACCATATTACAGGATTTATACAGCGATCTTAGGAACTTTTTAGACTCTTTCCTAGATTTAATTAATGGTGCTAGAAACTTCTTAATAATCAAATTATTGTGTTAAAAAAAATATCAATATAAAATTGTGACTACAAACCTACCTAAGAACCTAAGAAAGGTGAGTAACGATTTACTTGACCTTTTACCTGCACACAAACTCAAGATACGGTTTGTCTACACCGAATGTCAATTTTCTCGGATCAAGAGTGAGATATGATAAGGACACACCCGAGAAATGCGGCGTTTAGGTGTAGACAAAGCGTTCTCGAGTTTATCAAGCCACGCGTGCTTATATCTGAAAATTGGTCATCGCCCCAAACTAACAGATAGGCATACGACCTTAGTATATATTAACACTACATCAAAGAATAAATAATGTCTGGCGGCCTCTGGATCTATCACTTTTATTAGACATTAAAAGTTATTTTCTTTCAATTAGCACCGCAGCGTACACGGCACATTCCTATAATTTTTATAACTATCAAAGTAAACTTTGATATCCATTTGTAGTTAATCAGACAAAATAAGGAGACGGCAAATAACTGTCGGGGAATATTTAAGTGTTGCGATGTGAGGTTGTCAGTAATTAGCAATTAGCCTTCTTTGAATCGGTATGCGGTCCCGCGTCTGCCGACCGAACTACCAATTAGGAACTTGGATAGGTTCCTAGTACTGTAGGGTTGCCATTACAAACCTGACCACCTGAATCAAGTAAAATTAGTGTAAATAAAAAATAATAATGACCCTTTCATTAGTAGTTTATTAAATCATAACACACACATGTTTAATAAGTGTTATTTTTTGTAATGTTACAAAAAGGTCATGCTCTATAAAAATGTAATCCAAATTTTTGTAAAAATAGTTTTTCAGGATTTATAATTAGCCTAAAGTCTAAGAAAGACTTGCAAATCCATTAAAAAATTTACAAATATAATAATACTTATTTACAAATTGATATTTCTACTCAGTAACAGTAACAAACTGAAATTTAGCTAACGTGTAGCTTATATAACGAAAATAAGTAAATTTAAAAAATATAACAATTTGAAGAGCATATATATCTCTCCGAGATAATTATCGGTTCCCCATAAGTCAAACTCTTAATTACGGTAAACGTTTTGAATTACAGCAATTTACATAACGAGTCTCGACAGTTTTTGATATTTATGACACGTCAGCTTAAACGAGAAGTTTATTTTTAAAAATACATCCATGTAAATTATCGCTAAACGCTCCAATTATAGAGATGCGGCCATCACAAAACGTGTATAGCATAATTAGTAATCTGGTGTACTCATGACAGACTAACTGATAAATCTATTTTGTTCAGTATAGGCAGACGATCAGTTTTGAGAGTCATAAACTATGACAACTTTTAAAAAGTCAGTCGATGCGTTAGAATCATCCAACAATTGTACCTACCACCAAATCCAGTAGGTCTTATAATTGATGAGAAGAACGAGAGTCTAAATAACTACAATTAATATACGTGTATAATACAAAGAAAAATAAACAAATAAAGAATCTATCAATGTGTGAGTAACCTTAACAATATATCAAACTTTGTATTACTTTTATATACATAGTAAGTAAAAAAGGTAAATAACAGATGTCTTTGTTTTCTCATCATGAAGGAATAGACATATTTGTTCTTAACGAAACACATTTGTCTTCACGGCGTCATTCTAAAAATGTTGAGAAAAACTTCAGTCTCCATGACGAGGTGTGAACGTGGCATCCCGAGCAAAATAATTCATGTACTTACTTGAGCGTTGGTCGTGCAATTAACCGGCCTTTATTCTGCGCAGGCGCCGGTGTAGGCTGCATCTTAATAGCCCTTTTGTGGTTAAGTGTTTTATTTTTGTAGCGTCGTTGTACACGACATTTTGTTAATTATACAAAAAAAAAATAAACACACAAAAAAGGAAGAAATATTATGTCTTTTACCACATACAGATTTTTATGAATTTTATTGTAAACTCTATTAAGACGTCATAAGTTTCTAGATGGCACTTGCCATATTGATTTTATTGAATTAATTCCAAAAAATATCTATGCACTGACTATTATTATTTTATTTGATGATTATTTTTTTCATTATTTGACTTTTTTGACATAACTGTAATATTTTGATTAAATACTATAACATGTACTCATATAATTTATATTGTTAAATTTTACATAATTTCTATCTATTTA